TCAGTGTGACTCTCTTCATCTCAGATCTGAGTGACTGGAAAAAAAAATTCTAATTAAGCCATTCGAAAGAGCGTCCAAAACTGAGTAAGATAAATATAGTGTGTGGAAGTTAAGTGAGAGAATTCGACCAATCTTTTAATATTTTTTCCAGTCACTCATACCTGGAATGGAGAGTCACACTGAATATTATGGCACTTTTGGCTTAAAGTCGCGTTTTCATCCTAAGAAAAAAGTTTTTCAAAATTATTTTTTTACAAAAATATAGCCCGCGCTCTCTTCTATCCATTGATGTAGTTTTCATATTTTGTCGGTGCTTATACACCGTAAAAAAAGATTTTTATCAGCCGTACAAATAATTTTTGCCATCAGAAGACTTTCATTTTTCGGTCTGATGGTTCTACAAAGAGCAACAATGAATATTTCTAACTATTTTTTTATCTACAAATATACACTAGAGAGAGTGGAGAATATTTTGGCGTAAACCGCTTGTCAAAAGCTTTTTTCGTTATCGAATTATAATTAAAACAAGATCGTACAAATAATTTTTGCCGACACTGTATTTATAATTTATTCAAAAATTATCTGAGAAAACAATATAATTCAACTTCATACTCACCATCATTTGATTTCGATTTTGATTTTTGATGATAGTTATTATAGTCAGTCTTCAATTGTTTCAATGATGGTGAAAAACGATAATTATTTTCGATTAATATTGTTTTTATTTGTTCCGATGGTACACGAGTAAATGCATTTGCTAAATAGATGTATGCATGTCGTTGATAAGATTCAGACATTGTTTTTGTACAATCATAAAAATATTCTAATGGATTTGGAAATGTTCGTAAAAAATCTTCAATTTCAAATATTGGATTTGAAATATTTTCTTTTAATCGTTCGTTTCGATTTTGTTCAATTTTATCTTTAATTTTTGTATAACCACGTTCAATCATTGATGTTATTAAATTGTTAAGATCTTGTTGTTGATGAGTTTCTGCTATTGATCGAAGATATTTTGAATATTCTTCCATGGCATACTCCGGATCACAATCCGGTAATATTGCTAATATACGTTCGTATTCGTCATTTATAAATAAATTTTCTATGTCAATAGAGTCATCAACTGATGATAGTGAACGTTTTTTTTGTTCCGTAGTAATTGTTGGTGGAGTAGTAGAATATATTTGGAAACGTTTTTGTAATGAGCCGCCACTTGTAGTTGACGTAACTGATTTTGGTATTGGAAAAAGTGGTGATGTTGTTGATGATGATGCTGATGATGGTTTTTGTTGACGTTCATTATAGGTTAATAATTCATTAACAATATCATCATGCCAATTCGGATTATTTATATGACTCATAGTATTGTATAAGGTTGTAATGTACGGTCTTGGAATGGTATTAAATACTTCAAATAATGTTTGTAGTTCTTCTTTATTGTCATTTGATAATATAGTACTAGCAGCAGCAGCAGTAGATGTAGAAGGAAATTGTACATGATTCACAGAAACAGTATTCGGATAATTCATAACGAAACCATTTGCTGTTGCTGTAGCTGAAGTCGATGTGATTGTTTTATCATTTTTTACATCGTCTTTCGTTGGATCGATAATTTGTCCAAAATTAAAGATTTGAGAAACAAACTCAGCGCAAATATTTTCAATTACTTGAGATAGATCATCGTTATTTTTGTGCTGCTGAAGATGCCAATTTACAATTGCGTTAGAGACATTTATCTCTGGAAAAATTTCCGTTAGACGTTGTTTGATAACAACAACTGGTTGCTATGAATAAAAGAAGTATGTTTAGAATTGCATTCATCTCGACAATTAAAAAAGAAAGTTTTAGTGTATTTTTTAGTACTAGACACTGATAAAAAGAAAAAAAAAGATGTATCAAAGAACAAATCATTTAGCAGCATTCATCGACATAGAGAAAACATTTCAAATAGTCAATTTAATTTCTTTTCTCGATTTTTATAAATATAGTTCGCTGCTCTAGTAAAAAGGACCTACCGAGAGTGTAAGTAGGGAAAAGGCTTCTCTTCGAAACATTTACAGTATGAAAACAGACAAGAATAGTTACACATCGCCGAACAAATTTCTCGAAGCTATGCGTTTAAAGAAAAGTTCGAGATATATCAAGGAATTCCATAGAAAACAGCGTGTGCGCAATATAGCGCTAAGGTCTACATTTTTTACTACTGACTTACTTCATCTCCGTCCATTATTGGGTGAAAATTGCTTGGATAACTGTCTTGTTTCACGTGGTAGACATCTAGAAGGGAAATAAATAGTAATTAGACAGTAGAAAACAGAAATAATCTTGGTGATGGGATAGAGAGAAAACCATGGCTAATACGAGCATACAATAGTGTACGATATATTTCCTGCTAGCGCATGAGTCCTGTGATTCTCAATTTAACAAAAATTACGACGTATCATCAAAGAACATCACAACGAAAACACAGCAAAAAAGAACAGACAGCTTTGCTTTCAACCTGTCTTTTATCCCAACCGAAACCGGTTTTTTCTTTCTTAACTCGAAGATTGCGGATCTTTAACGAGAAAAAGTGATGAAGTGAGAAACAAGCTTTCTTCAGTGATCATGAGTAGTGTGTGAGAAATATAAATGTGACTGATTGTGACATCACCGACTTCATTCGACTAACATTTTGACCAATAGTTTAAATCTTCTTACCTTTATCAAATATGTTTTCGAGGGTGTTTCTTGCAAAGATATGCGTAGATGTCGTTAACTTAATGCAGTATAAGAAAATAACTTCTAGTGGCAATTAATACTGTTAAACAATAGACGATCTGAGATATGGGAAGACTAGGGAGCTAATAAAAAAATGTACGCACAATACACCATAAATGAGAATAGACTTCTAATAAGAACGAGTAACATTTATTTTCAATTCACTTTTAATTATCGTTTTTTAAGACATATGGGCTTGATTTTATTGTTTTATTAACCGTAAACTACTACTGAGAAAGATTTTGTCAAACTTTTGGATTTTATCAATCAACTTTTCTACAGTTTTCGTTTGGAATTCAAAATTTTCATCATTCAACGATCATTCGAACGATTTTTTCTGCCGTGTTACCGCACGATAAAATTGGTTACATCTATGGACACCCTTCGAGGGCGGCACTGAGTTGCTATGGATATTCCTACCTGTCTGCATTCATTCTCTGCTACCTTGCTAGAAACGCGCCAACGGCAGCCTTACTCGTGCAAAATCGTGTAGAAGTCTGACCGTTTTCTGCTGTAAGATTTTATGTATATCCGATTCGACGATATCATGTAAGAGAAATCTCATAAGACTCTTGTTGTAGAAGCTTTTTTATCCAGCCAAAATAAGAACGATTGAAGTATTTGTCCGCTAAAAAATAAAAAGTTGGTTAGTTCTGAATACTTGTGCACATAGGTAACTTGATTTGCTTTGCAATCTGGCACTATCAAAATTTGTTCATTCGAAAGTTCCTTATGGATTTCCAGAGGCATTGAATTTGGACAAAGGTTCTGAAAGATCATATGGATACGAAAAAATAGCAGACTCCTGATGAGCATAAAAAACTACCCATAAGTACGTTTTAAGTAAAAGTCAGCGAGGCACTTGGGGTCTTCTCTCATTAGTAAGATCTTAACAGAGTCTCAACTGCTGTAGCTTATGCTAAAAATTCCAGATCGAACTGTTGAAGTACTCTCGGGTTATTGCGTGACAAGGGACAAAATGGAGCTCTTAACAAAAACGCTAAAATTTTTCTGTTGAAAGGTGCAGAAAGCTGCGGATCGTCTCAAATGAAAGTAGACACCTAAATCTAAAGTTTGTCCGTAGGTTAGGAATATGACAATGATCCTGTTTTATATCAATCACAGACTTGAAGAACAGGGAAAATAGTGAGAGAATTATACCGGGTGCACCAAAACGATTGCAACATCGCATATTTTGCATATATCTCAGCATAGAAAAATGATAAAATCTTCAATTTCTTTTTTTAAAAAGATGCGCAATTCAATTCTCGACAAACTTCTATTTATCTCAATTTAAAATAATAGAATTGAACATTTTTATAGGTCACATAGTGTGATGATATGAATTGCATCTACGTCCCACACATTCTTTTCCTAATTTCTTTTTTCTATACAAACGGATATTTAGTTTTTAAAACATAACTCACTGCTAGATAGCTCTTGAAAGCCTCTGTCGATTGTGCATAAATAAGAAGTTTTATAATTCTCATTCTTTCGGTTAAGCGGTACTTTCTGCAAAGCCATATTTTGAGTACGACGACGTTTTCTTTCTTGGTTACGTGCTCCTTTTCAAAAAAACGTCCTAGTAATGTCACATACGACCAAACCGAGTTCATTTTTACAGTATTTTGTAGACAACGGATTTCTCTTTCTACTTGGAGCTCAAATAGCATGTGATAAAATGATTCAGTTCGACGAAGAACCTGAACACTGTCAAGAAGGCTGTTTTGTTGTAGCGGCTCAGGCAGGCCATTGTTATTAGGCACAAGTAGATTGTGATCAAACGCTTACAAATAATTCTGAAAGAGCATCTGATATCCAATCGTATTACAAATAATTCATTTTTTAGATGCCTGTTTATAA